TGGGGGTGGTGCCGGCGCCGAGAACTGAGACACGGACTGTGGTGCCGGTGGACCGTAGAACGATGCCGGTGCGTTTGAAATTGGAGGTGCATACTGCGCAGTCGCCAGAGCGAGTAGAATCATCAGGAATCCAGCCTGAAATCACACAGAATGACGATGTTACAGTTGTTAATACTACTGAGCTTAAAAGGTTCAGATTCAAATTGTTTAGGAGTTGGCAATGGCAGTAACGGAAGTCCATGTTCATTTGTCTACTGGCAACAATGATGTCTCGATGTAATTCAAAATCATATTATTGTTTTATTGAATAGTTGCACATTTATAAACATAACTGAAACATTCCTTGAAAGCTTACAACACCTTCAACACGTTTCATGTATTGTTGTTTCAACAATGCGTATGAATTAATATCATTTTGATCACAAAAACATTTCCTTTGGCAGAAAATGGAATCGACTCTCAGCGTACAATCGACTTTTTTTTTTACACATCTCTCATATCGAATTCGGTCAAATGAAAGCTGTTAAATTTGATCCAATAAGTACACCGAATTTAATTGCTAAGTAGACCCTGATTATTTACGAATGAATCTATCAATTCTGTTAATTTTATAAGTTTCGAAGTACTTTCACGAACAGTGTCCACGTTTAATGTTTTACTGTGGAACCTCGATATGCCGCGCCTCGTTATACCGCGGCAGTGAACATGTCCTTCAATACGATTACATATCTTTTACATGTTTCACATATAACGCGGGTACTGAAGGTGTCCCTCAAAACCCGCGTAATATCGAGGTTCCACTGTACTTAATTTTTCCAAGATTATTATATTTAAACCTTCATGCAACAAAGTCATTTTTGAAAATAATATATCGCGATTATGATAAGCTGATAATTGCTCACACATCCAAATAATTACCTAAATTTTATGGAATCTAAATGTTCGTTACCAGACCCTATCTTTAGCCAAATGAATCCAGCGCACAACCTCCCACCTTAGTCCCTAAAAGATCCATTTTAATATTATCCTTCAATCTATACCTACGTCCTTCGAGTGACTTCTTCCTTTCATGATTTCCAACAAAAATTGTGCATGCAGATCTCTGAGAACGTGATACAAAAGTAATTGAGTAAAAATGCAATTTAAAACTGTGATTGAACTCACTGTTGGAATCATCGTTGGTGTTTTTCCGTTCGCTGTCCGATCAATTTGTGGTGAATTTTATGTCTGCAAGAAGATTTAAGGGACCTTTTATACAATCAAGAGTCCTTGATCGAAAACCTTTCACTCTGCCACATTGCTATTTTGTCGAAAACGGAATAACAGGATTTGGGGGGGAAACTACGATAAAAATCAAGTAACCGATATCACAGTTGTTGAAAAACATAATTCTTATAAATCACAGTGCAAGAAGCGGGTAGCATCTATTATTTTCCTTCGGGGTTTGTTTTTATGCCGTCACAAACCTGTTTTCGACTCAGACTTCCATTCGAAAGTTCTTAAATCTCGTCTCCAATTCTCACACCTCGCTCTCCTCACATTTTTACTTAACACCTCGGCTTAATCACGTATTAATTATTACGTTATTTAACGATGTTGTTTCAACTGTAAAGGTTATATGATGTGGACATGTCCATGTATGACGAGCGGATAATTATTTCGCAGAAGTGGGGAGGGAGGGGGGGGCTGTTTGAAAATACTAATAAAACATTTGTCTGTAGTGGCTCAGGAGAACCATGTAACCATGGCAACCCGAAACCCGTCTGAGCGCTTGTCATTTCTCTAAAAGGAACAATATTTTACTCAGTACCCTGTTCTCAAACGCCCTTTAGATGAGACACCAAATTTCACACGCACATAAAACAAACAGACGAAAGAATTTCAAAAAAGAGTTGTTCTTGAGAAGCTTATGGTCGCTCAACTAGTCAAGTTGTTCCCCGTCTCTCATGGAACACGAAGGTTCATTACAGTGTTCACAAAATCCCGCTACCGGTCCATATTCTGAGCCAAATGAATCCAATCCACGCCTTCTAACTTTCTTCCAACTCAACGTTAATAGCACACTTCCATCTACTCCTAGATCTTCCGAGTAACCTCGGAATTATGATGATGGATTACGGATTGGAAAGA